AAGCACATGTGCACCAGGATTTTTAAAATTTTACAGCAAGTTGGGGAACAAATATTTTTAAAGCCTGAATGATTAGTCTTAATAAAATAAGCTTTTTAGGAATGAATCCAGAATAATTCATGCCTTGAGATTGGTTTTCATGATTGATTAGTGTAATTCAACTCTTGGATGGTGGATGGTTCCTGGCCATCCTGTAACAAAGTCAGGATTTGGGGGGGGGGGCATTTTAGTTTGGCTTATTGTCACTGAAATGCACCCAGGTTGCCAAGGCCTAATAAGTTGGGAAAAAACTGGTTGCAGAAAATCCCATTGTCTCAAGAAATCCCTTATGTTAATTCTATGCTGGGAATCATGAAATAAATGCCACCCAGCAACTTATAGGCCTTGGTTCAAAAATCATATTCGCTTCAATTTGCTGCCCTTGTGAGGACAACATTTTGCAAAAATATCCCAATTTTGCTGCACAAGGGTTAATAAGTTACTCAAACTTATAGAATGTACTGTAAATTGGTTTTTTTTTAATCCACATTTCTTGAACCTTTCTGAAGCTTGAGTTATCTCTGGAAACATCAAGTCAAGAAAGGTTGACATTCCAGGGTAAATTTCTGTCCTTTTTTATATTGTGGACTATTTGCCCTCTGGGGCTGGCTCTCTTCCTCCTTCACCACCTCTGATGAAGAGTGTGCCTATTTTAGAAAGCTTATCAAATACAAACTGTGGGCTGTATATATGCCCGGGTCGTGTGTACCCATGTATTTTACCCAGTTATACACAGAAGCAACCAAGAAGAAGAAGAAGAGAGGAGAATACAGGGAAGATGTTCCTCGCGCGCCTGCGCGCGCCTAGACATGTTTGCTCGCGAATATAAGGGGGAGCAAATGGCCGCCACCTGGGCACCAAGTGAGCACACAGAGCCCATGTATATAATATACAGGGGGGACGCCAAATGCTGCGTCGTTTGCTCAAACCTCTGGGCTTTACAAACACAGCCTGTGTGAAACACGCGCAGTAGTGTGCCTGGGAAAAGCAAACTGTCGTCGACTTTTTTCACCACCTCCCCCCCCCCCCTCCTCCTTCTGTATACTGTACTGTATTTTATGCTTCAATGCACGGGTCTGTTCTGTCTCAGGGGGCTGCCACAAAGTTTCTAACAGGATGAGGTCATTGCATGAAAACATCATGTCATACATCTTATGAGTTTGATTCCCACATAAAAGGAGAGATTTCAATGAATAAATGAATGAATGAACAGAACACTTTATTTGCAGCTTTTCAGTGTTCACAAGGCACAACCGAGACTCCCACATCCAAATCCCCTCCCCTCCCCACCCAACCCAACTCCCCCCAAAGACATTCAATCCCTTCAAAGCATGAAACAAAGCACAAACCAATGACAAAAACAAAAGAGAACACACTCCACAAAATAAAACTGGACATCAGACACGTATGCATACACCCACCCATCCCCCAATAATGAAGACAAAGCAGCAGTAAAAGTTTATTTAAAGCACAAGGTCTTCAGCCTGCTTCTGTATGAGTTTTAGTTGAATGAACAATTTAGAGAGAATCTTTGATGAGAAATCATATAAGGCCAAAAATGTATCTTGATCCTTTAAGATTTCAGAAGTTGACGGGATTTCAATGGAATGAAACATGGGCAAAGGGACACACCTTGAAGATGAGCTCCTGTATAGTTTTGTGACACATTTTATTCAGTTTTTTCTCACTTCAAGGAAATTCAGAAATCAGGGAATTCAACACAATGAAATGAACACACACAGGAAATCACTTCAAGTAAAACAGAAAATCAAATTTGTGCACAAATCGTATGAAAAAAAGAGACGATTCCTCTTCAAGAGTTCTGAGAAGACTAAATATTGATTCAAAATAAAATTCATAAATTTCAGGGTATGGTCTCTTACTCTGGTCACATGATTTGACAAGAACATTCCTTCAGATTTCCTGGCCTCTAATTGGCAAAGAAAAGATAAAATGAAGGAAAGCATCATGTGCATGGTTACAATTTTTGTTTTGTTTTTCAGATATTAAAATTTTTGTAAATGTACTGCATGACTAAAGGTGGAACCTTTTCCACTGATGGCCTGAGTTCTCAACCCATGTCAGAGGGTGCTAAAACTGTGTCAGGCCAGCTGAAAATTGTAAATTCTTTGTTGTATTAACCCTTATATGAAATGTAGAACATATGACAATTGAAAAAACACAATTTCAAGTTTATAGCTGGCCTGCAATTTTTTGAGCAAGTGTTAAGCGTTCTGAACTTTTTACACTTGAATTGAAATGTTAAAATTTTTTTCAGATGGCTGCAAAAGGTGCAGATCAGTGACAAAAGAATTAGAAAAAGAGTGAGGTGGCTAAAATGAAGATTGATTTTAAAAGTCAGGGTAATGACCTGACACAAATTTGTGGATTAGCAAGAAATAGAACCTTCAGCTTCAAAAATGCATTAAAAAAAATCAAGAATATATCTTATTTTGAAGAAATATCTTCTAATAGTGGCAAGGCTTATTTTATAAATGGTGTCGATTTACTGGAGGAAGTTGGCATGGGAGGTAAATTCACTGCAAAAATATTAGCAGAACTCCCAGAACTCAAATTGTTGTAGAGATTGTTGTTGTGCACAAATATGCCATTAATTGAACATTCAACTTCAATCTGGGATGATACAGATCATTCATATGAGATACAAGTAAAAATACATAGAATATTCAAAATCCTCATAATTTTATTTTTCCAAACTAGTAAAAATCAACAAACCAGGGATTTCCCTTTATTAATTTGTTTTTTTTAGCAGCAACTAATAGATTTCTTTCTTTAAAAAATAAAGTCTTTCAAGGATTCAAACTGTGCGATTTATTCTCCCAAAATGTCCAAATCTGCATGACAAGACCGCTTTTTTAAAACACAGTAATGTAATTAATTTTTCGAGTTCTATTCCTGGAACATATTTCCCAGAAACTTTCCAGTAGGAAAACTTTTTTGAAGCCCAAGGACCATTTGTGTGCATTAACTACCGGTGTTGGCTGATGATGTTGACTGTCTCGGCATTCTGGAATACGAAGTTGATTTATGCTCTTTAATCCGAGTTCCTTTGCTGATAGCTATTGACATTTCAACACATTTGATTTAATTTTTTGCACTGGTATTCAAAATAATGGCCTCCTTTTCTTAAAGATAACGTGGTTGAAATCGTTATTAGTAATGAAGAATCGATTACTGTGTCAAGCATCCGATTAAATAAGCTGTTGTGAATTGCTAAACATTCTTTTTTGCTTTCTTGAATAATTCATGCAAATAATAATGCCAAGTACTGTACTGTACTATAGGGCCCAGCACGCACCCAAATTAAATTTTTGATCCGTATATATTCACAAATTGTTGCCAAAAATTCTTGAAACTGAGATTAGCAATTTTAATGAATGATTTAGCAAAATAAGGATGAGCCCAGTTTTTGACCCTATGCAAACAATTTATATTTTAAAAGAGTTGGTGGAAGTGGGAGGTATTATCAGACTAATGCATAACTGCAGAATATAAAAATATATGAAAAGTTTCAAATTAATCTTGGTATTTGAAGATAATTCTGTATTGTGCCAAATATTGAAACAATTCAAGCCTTGCAATGGTGGATTACAATACAGTAATTACACAGCTCTTGCATCTGATGCCTCTGATACTCACATGCTCTGTGTAAAGTTTCTTGGGCTCTTTTCTGTTTGAAAATGCCAACCTGATACCTATATGAAGGAAAATTTGATGATAAAAACTTCAGGAGTGCAAAACTTCTGCTTGTACTGGTCCTTACATTTTTGGGGGGTGCAAGGTATTTTTCTGTTCAAAGTTATATCAATAAAATCATTTTCAGGGAGATTCTTGGGAATGTCCCCAATGGTTTGCTTCTTCTGGTTAATCTGATGATCTGAGATTCACCTTGGAACGTTGTAGGAGGGGTGAGATGAATGACCTGTCATGCTGGCAGTGGCAGCAAATACTGTGTATTGTAGATAACCTGGGAAGACTTATGTGTGTATCCTGTGGCAAGAGGAAATGTATGACTCTTGTGCGTTTGCCTCAGGCTACTTTCATGGGTGCTCTTGAAAAGTTTGTTTTTATAGATGTCATGAAAATGAGAATGAAGGTATGTTTAGCCGTCAGGTTGTATGCAATGAACCAATGAACCTGGAGGTAATTTTGGTTTAGTCATTAGAATGATACATTTCTTGGAATTCAGTACTTGGATATTGTTTGTCCTTCAAATACTGTTCTGAGTATAGTGGTACCTTTTTGACTTCAGTGATATTCTGGGTGCAGTGTGGTGATGCACTGCGCATTGATACTTGAGAACATGACAAGGCACTTAGTATCTAACTCTGCAGAGTAAACATAACACCATATGGCTCTTGAAGGAGTATACAGTTGGTGATTTTTAGAATTGAATGTACAGTTAGTCAACTGCTGATGCTGCTGATTGTCCCTCTGTTTGGATGCAATTTTCATTGATGTTATCAGTGAATGTTGAATGAATAGAAAAGTGAATTTGGGAGCGACATCTTGACTTGGAAACGCATCATCGCCATCAAATCGTTCAAGTGCCCCACTTGAAATTGCATACTAGTGAAGTTACTCATTTCGAGTTGTCAGGTCAACCAGAAAAGTTGATGGTTTCTATACGTTTCGAGCACTACTCCCGTATCTGTAGTTGCGAGGAGAAGGGATGCTGTATATATCCGGAAGATTAAGCAGCGATTCAGGATATTTGCAGTGACATCTACCATTGGAGTGTGAAAATTATTGTTATTCATAGATGTCGGGATCGCTTGGAGTCATGGCGGCGTTCCTTTGAAATCAGCTGGATCTCAGTCCACTGCCTGACTGACCAAAAGTTCACGAAGCACAGATTCACTGCGGAATCGGAGTGACTCGAACTGTTCTCTCGTGCGTCTGACGATTTAGAAAGATGTTGATTCTGTACCCTTCTCCTTGCAGGTATCTTGATTTTTGGAAACGGGGTTTATTCTGTGTGGACGGCACATAATGAACCCTCTTGGTCAGATCAGACATTTCTCCACGATCGGCGGTGATGTTTTCATCGCGAGTGCCGTGCGAACGCCGATTGGGTCATTCAGGAGTTCACTAGCGTCGTTCCGTGCGACAGAACTTGGAGCTGTTGCAATCAAAGTAAGTTGAGCTGAATAATGATTTATGAATACCCTGTGCATTTATTAGCATTATGCCGTATCTAGGGAGCAATTGAAAAAGCTGGCATCAATCCCGACGCCGTGCAAGAAGTTTACATGGGAAATGTAGTCCAGGCAATGGGAGGTCAAGCTCCGGCTCGTCAAGCCTCACTTTTTGCAGGACTCCCAAAAAGTGTTCTGTGTACCACAATCAATAAAGTTTGCGCGTCGGGGATGAAGACTGTGATGATGGCTGCTCAGTCCATCAAATCTGGGACGAATAACTTGATGATTGCCGGTGGAATGGAGAGCATGTCAAATTGCCCGTATTACATGAAACGCGGAGAAACCCCTTATGGCGGAGTGACTCTCTTTGACAGTATCGTTTTTGATGGACTCACTGACGTTTACAATAAGTGTCACATGGGGAACTGTGCAGAGAATACAGCGAAAAAGATGAAAATATCCCGCGAAGAACAGGATGCTTATGCAACACGGAGTTACAAACTGAGTGCTGAAGCGTGGAAGTCCGGAGCATTTGCCAGTGAAATCGTGCCGGTTATTGTACCTCCGAAAAAGAAAGGAGGCGAATCAACCACTGTTACCGAAGATGAAGAATACAAGAAAGTGAATCTCGCAAAACTTCCAACGCTGAATACAGTGTTTCAGCGAGAAGGTGGAACTGTTACTGCTGGAAATGCATCAACATTGAATGATGGAGCTTCTGCTCTAGTGATTGCCAATGAACAGGCTCTGAAGCAATACAATCTTAAGCCTTTGGCGAGAATTGTTGCGGGTGCTGATGCAGCTACTGAACCAATCGACTTTCCGATTGCACCTGCCTTTGCCACTCCAAAGGTCAGTTGTC